TTCATTCCAAAGTGCCAGGGAACAGCTGTTTTCATTCCAAAGTTCCAGGGACCAGCCGTTTTCATTTCAAAGTGCCAGGGACCATCCGTTTTCATTCCAAAGTGCCAGGGACCAGCTGTTTTCATTCCAAAGTGAAAGGGACCAGCTGTTTTCATTCCAAATTGCCAAGGACCAGCTGTTTTCATTCCAAAGTGCCAGGGACCAGCCGTGTTCATTCCAAAGTGCCAGGGACCAGCCGTTTACATTTGAAAGTGCCAAGGATCAGCTGTTTTCATTTTAAAGTGCCAGGGACCAGCTATTTTCATTCCAAAGTGCCAGGGACCAGCTATTTTCATTCCAAAGTGCCAGGGACCAGCTGTTTTCATTCCAAAGTGCCAGGGACCAGCTGTTTTCATTCCAAAGTGATAGGGAACAGCTGTTTTTATTCCATAGTGCCAGGGACTAGCTTTTTTTCATTCCAAAGTGCCAGGAACCAGCTGTTTTCATTCCAAAGTGCCAGGGACCAGCTGTTTTCACTCCAAAGTGCCAGTGACCAGCTTTTAAATTCCAAAGTGCCCGGGACCAGCTATTTTCATTCCAAAGTCAGTTTTCATTCCAAAAGGAACAGCTGTTTTCATTCCAAAGTGCCAGGGACCAGCCGTGTTCATTCCAAGTGCCAGGGACCAGCCGAAGTGCCCAGCTGTTTTCAAGTGCCAGGAGTGCCAGGGACCAGTTTTCATTTTCCAGCTGTTTTTCCAAAGTGCCAGGACCAGCTGTTTTCATTCCAAAGTGATAGGGAACAGCTGTTTTTATTCCATAGTGCCAGGGACTAGCTTTTTTTCATTCCAAAGTGCCAGGAACCAGCTGTTTTCATTCCAAAGTGCCAGGGACCAGCTGTTTTCACTCCAAAGTGCCAGTGACCAGCTTTTTAAATTCCAAAGTGCCCGGGACCAGCTATTTTCATTCCAAAGTGCCAGGGACCAGCTGTTTTCATTCCAAAGTGCCAGGGAACAGCTGTTTTCATTCCAAAGTGCCAGGGACCAGCCGTGTTCATTCGAAAGTGCCAGGGACCAGCCGTTTTTATTCCAAAGTGCCAGGGACCAGCTATTTTTATTCCAAAGTGCCAGTGACCAGTCGTTTTCATTCCAAACTGCCAGGTACCAGCTGTTTTCATTCCAAAGTGCCAGGGACCATCCGTTTTCTTTCCAAACTACCAGGGACCAACCGTTTTCATTTCAAAGTGCCAGGGACCATCCGTTTTCATTCCAAAGTGCCAGGATCCAGCTGTTTTCATTCCAAAGTGCTAGGGACCATCCGTTTTTATTCCAAAGTGCCAAGGACCAGCTGTTTTCATTCCAAAGTGCCAGGAACTAGCCGTGTTCAGTCCAAAGTTCCAGGGACCATCCGTTTTCATTCCAAAGTGCCAGGTACCAGCTGTTTTTATTTCAAATTGCCAACCAGCCGTTTTTTATTCCAAATTGCCAGGGACCTTCCGTTTTCATTCCAAAGTGCCAGGGACCAGCTGTTTTCATTCCAAAGTGCCAGGGACCAGCTGTTTTCATTCCGAAGTGTCAGGGACCATCCGTTTTCATTCCAAAGTTCCAGGGACCAGCTTTTTTCATTCCAAAGTACCAGGGACCAGCCGTTTTCATTCCAAAGTGCCAGGGACCAGCCGTATTCATTACAAAGTGCCAGGGACCAGCTGTTTCATTCCGAAGTGCCAGGGACCAGCTGTTTTATTCCAAAGTGCCAAGGACCATCCGTTTTCATTCGAAAGTGCCAGGGACCATCCATTTTCATTCCAAAGTGCCAGGGACCAGCTGTTTTCATTCCAAAGTGCCAGGAACCATCCGTATTCATTACAAAGTGCCTGGGACCAGCTGCCGAAGGGACCAGCTGTTTTTTATTCCAAAGTGCCAAGGACCATCCGTTTTCATTCGAAAGTGCCAGGGACCATCCATTTTCATTCCAAAGTACCAGGGACCAGCTGTTTTCATTCCGAAGTGCCAGGGACCAGCTGTCTTCATTCCAAAGTGCTAGGGCCCAGCCGTTTTCATATAAAAGTGCCAGGGACCAGCTGTTTTCATTCCAAAGTGCCAGGGACCAGCCGTTTTCATTCAAAAGTGCCAGGGACCAGCTGTTTTCATTCCAAAGTACCATGGACCAGCCGTTTTCATTCCAAAGTGCCAGGGACCAGGTGTTTTCATTCCTAATTGCCGGAGACCAGCTGTTTTCATTCCATAGTGCCAGGGACCAGCCGTTTTCATTCCGAATTGCCAGGGACCAGCTGTTTTCATTCCAAAGTGCCAGGGACCAGCCGTTTTCATTCTAAAGGACCATGGACCAGCGGTTTTCATTCCAAAGTTTCAGGGACCATCCGTTTTCATTCTAGAGTGCCAACGACCAGCTGTTTTCATTCCGAATTGCCAGGGACCAGCTGTTTTCATTCCACAGTACCATGGACCAGCGGTTTTCATTCCAAAGTACCATGGACCAGCGGTTTTCATTCCAACGTGCCAGGGTCCATCCGTTTTCATTCTAAAGTTTCAGGGACTAGGTGTTTTCATTCTAAAGTGCCAGGGACCATCCGTTTTCATTCCAAAGTACCAAGGATCAGCTGTTTTCATTCCAAAGAGCCAGGGACCAAATGTTTTCATTCTAAAGTGCCAGGGACCAGCCGTTTTCATTCCAGAGTGCCAGGGACCAGCTGTTTTGATTCCAAAGTGCCAGGGGCCAGCTGTTTTCATTCCAAAGTGACAGGGACCAGCCGTTTTCATTCGAAAGTGCCAGGGACCAGCTGCCTTTATTCCACAGTGCCAGGGACCAGCTGTTTTCATTTCAAAGTGCCAGGGAACAGCTGTTTTCTTTCGAAAATGCCAGGGACCAGCTGCTTTCATTCCAAAGTGCCAGGGACCAGCTGTTTTCATTCGAAAGTGCCAGGGACCAGCTGTTTTCATTCCAGAGTGCCAGGGACCAGCCGTTTTCATTCCAAAGTACCAGGGATCAGCTGTTTTCATTCCAAAGTGCCAGGGACCAGCTGTTTTCATTCCAAAGTGCCAGGGATCAGCTGTTTTCATTCTAAAGTGCCAGGGACCAGCCGTTTTCATTCCAAAGTACCAAGGACCATCTGTTTTCATTCCAAAGTGCCTGGGACCAGCTAATTTCATTCCAAAGTGCCAGGGACCAGTTATTTTCATTCCAAAGTGCCAGGGACCAGCTGTTTTCACTCCAAAGTGCCAGGGACCAGCTTTTTAAATTCCAAAGTGCCAGGGACCAGCTATTTTCAATCCAAAGTGCCAGGGACCAGCTGTTTTCATTCCAGAGTGCCAGGGACCAGCTGTTTTTATTCCAAAGTGCCAGGGACCAGCTTTTTTTTTTATTCCAAAGTGCCAGGAACCAGATTTTTTTCATTCCAAAGTACCAAGGACCAGCTGTTTTATTCGAAAATTCCAAGGACCAGCTGTTTTCATTCCAAAGTGCCAGGAAACAGCTGTTTTTTATACCAAAGTGCCAGGGACCAGCTGTTTTATTCCAAAGTGCCAGGGACCAGCTGTGTTCATTCCAAAGTGCCAGGGCTCAGCTTTTTTATTCCAAAGTACCAGGGACCAGCTGTTTTCATTTCAAGGTGCCAGGGACCAGCCGTTTTTATTCCAAAGTGCCAGGGACCAACAGCGTTTTTTTCGGAGTGCCAGTGACAGATGTTTTTTTTTTCCGAAAGTGCCAGGACCCAACAGAGTTTTTTTTTTTTCTAAAATGTCAGGGACCAACAGTTTTTCCGGAGTGCCAGGGAGAGACAGTTTTTTTTCTATTCTTTTATATCCAAAGTGCCAGGGACTAACAGTTTTTGTTCCGAAATGATAATGGTATCGATGATAATGATGTTGATATTTATTAAATAATGATAATATGAGGATCGTGATAATTATAATAATTATGATAATGAAAATGATAATAATGATGCACACACACACACACATATATATATATATATATATATATATATATATAATATATATATATATATATATATATATATATATATATATATATATATATATATATATATATATATATATATATATATATATATATATATATATATATATATATATATATATATATATATATATATATATATATATATATATATATATATATATATATATATATATATATATATATATATATATATATATATATATATATATATATATATATATATATATATATATGATAACATTGATAATTATAATGATCACTTTCAAGAGAACCAGGAATCCGGTTATAAAAACAGAATTACTGATCACAGTTTCTCAACCCTGGCCACTAGAGCAGAGGTTCTTTGCCCTTGCACTCTGCCGACACACTAGAAATATATCAGCAACGAACCTTTACTCTTCACGCCATTGATATACGAATAGAAATGCAAGTCATATGTCAATCGAAAATTATTATTTAAAGGTCATGAATACATGACTGCAAAGTATCAAGCGCCTCACTTGGGGGAACTGTGGCCCATTTGTGCGGGGCGACACCCAGGCTCAGAAAACCTGCACCTATTCAATGCCAGTTTATGCATCGCCAGTAATACAAAATTTAACAGCCCTTTGACTAATCAAAGAAAGTCGTATTTTAATACACTGCTAGAATATTTGCTTGGGATACAGTTGAATAAACAATTGTGTTATCAACGTTGTATTAGGCTCTTAACGATCTATCTTTTCCGAAACATGTCTTCATCATTACAAATCAATTTGAGCATAATTCATTGTTTAAATAAGTTGTACACGGTAAGGTTGCACAGTATTCTTGGAATCACCAATGATGTATATTTTTTGAATCTACAATTCTCAGATCCACCGAAAACCGAATAAAGCAATCAAAAAGAGACTGATGATCACTGCAAACAGAAATTAGGTTGCTCATAGACGATTATTATTAGTTTATCGCTGCATCATCAGAGCTTTGTAATAGATGATATCGATCTTTGTGCAGATTTGAATAGAAAATATATTCTGAAGTAAAGGCTGGAAAATCCAGGTTCTTTGTTTATTTTTGTGAAAATATATTAGCTTGTGTTTGACGCTATTCCTTACACTTGATGAGCTAATTGATATAACTCAGAACTCAGGTAACTGCGGTGTACATTCTACCAACAGGGGATATGATCTAATGCATTTTTTTCTTTCAAACTTTATAGTTTTATGCTTACAAACTTTCATCAAGTGAATACATGTGTATTAAATCCTAAAAAAACCCGGTCCGGAGGCACAAGTCTCCTCATCGTGCACTTCTCGTAATCAACGAACAGCAGTGAACGCATAACCATATTTGGGGCTATTGACAGCATTGTACTGGTGAAGGAAAACGTCGCCTATGAGCTGCGATGTGTGAGTTCCTGACGTTGCTGAGGACCCTGCAACTTTCGTTATTGCTACAGGACTGGCATCTTGAGCAGCTGTAACACCACTTGGTTTCGAAAGTGACGAATGGCCGGGTGAAGCAGTTGCTATAGCTGCAGCTGCTGTGGGTTGAGGGAATCCCTCGGGGGAAAATCCAGTTTTCCTTCCTGCTACAAAGTTAACAGTATGTTCTTTTCCATCTTCATCTACGTAGGTGTAGCTTCCGACAATGTTGCCATCAGCATCAGCTTCCTCAGTCCGTGAATAACTATCAGAATCAAAGGAAAATCTGTATGAAGCATCTGCCTGAGTGTCTGCAATGTCGCTCCCTTCTCCAGACTTCAGCAGAGGAGAGACTCCTGCTAGAGCATTGGCTTCTTCTTCAGAGAGGACAGGGAGAATGCGTCCAGTTGGAATTCCAGTTTCTGCGCCTGGAACAGGTGGTCCTTGAGGAAGGGAGTCTCCTTCAGCAATGTATCCGGTGTCAGCTCCAGCAATATACTGGATCTCCCTACTTACGTCATCATCAGCAATAAAGGAATACCTTCCCTTGACATTGTTCTGTGCGCCCGCACTTTCATGTCGTGAGCTACTCTGAGTCTTGTAGGAGAAAGAGTAACTTCCATCGTCAAGAGTAGAACTTCGTACTTGAACTTCTTCAGCTGGTGCTGCTGGGGCAACAGGCTTAGGATGGGCAGCATGTGAAGGGGCAAGAAATGCAGTTTTGGTTGACACAACACCTGGGCTGGAAGACTGAGTGTGAGAGTCAGAACTTGGCACATCTGGAGCAATAGGTAAGTGATCACCTTCAGCGACGAAACCAGTAGCAGATCCAGCAACATAGTTCACAGTCCTTCGAACGCCATCATCGGCATCAAAGCTGAAAGTTCCCTGTACGTTAAGGTTGGGATCAGCACTTTCCGATCGAGAGCTTTGACCAGCATCATAACTGAAAGAGTAAGAAGCGTCCCTTGGAGCAGAGTCAAGAGGAGAACTGTAGGTGGCAGCAGTCAAAGGGCTAGCACTTGCAGAACCAGAAGTGGCAGCAGCAAGCTCGTTAGCCTGTTGCTCAGACAGAACAGGAAGAATTCGTCCAGTTGGAATTCCAGATTCTGCGCCTGGAACAGGTGGTCCTTGAGGAAGGGAATCTCCTTCAGCAATGTAACCAGTGTCAGCTCCAGCAATGTACTGGATTTGCCTATTTATCATCATCAGCAATAAAGGAATACCTTCCCTTGACGTTGTTGAGAGCATCTGCTGTTTCGTGACGTGAGCTTCTCTGATTCTCGTAGGAGAAAGAGTAACTTCCATCGCCAAGAGCAGAGCTTTGTACTTGAGATTCTTCAAGCGGTGCTGATGCGGCTACCGGCTGTGAGGGTGCAGCTGGTTGGGAGGCAACTACAGAACGCGAAGGAGCGGGAGGAACATCGTAGGTGGAAGCCGCGCTTTTGGTGGACACGAGAGGAGCAGTATCAGCCACTGGGGCAACTGGTAGATGAGATCCACTGACAAGGAAGCCTTGGTCATTAGCTGTATAATCCAGCTTTATGTCTGCCCCGGATGCATCCTTGTACCCAAAGGAGCCAGAGACGTCCCCGGGAGCATTTGCCATCGCCGACTCATAGGCTCCGTCACCAGTGTCATAGCCATACTTGAAGGTCCCGTCGTCGTGGAGAACATAGTATTGTGACCTGGCACCGAGGCCTACGGTCGGAATCTTGTACTCGGCATCAGGACGTGGAAAACTCAGCGTGCTAACCACCGCCACGGACAACACGGTCTGAAAAGAAAGCGAATCTTTATAGATTTTTTGTAGAGGGGAATATTTGTATTAGGGAGCAGTTGGCATGATTTTATCAGGTAGCGAAACATTCTCACATTTATACTTTAACATTTAAACATTATGTAACTGAGTGAATCTTTTACAGAATTTTTGTTTTATGCCTGTGCGTCCCCAGCTCGGATGCCATTAACATCAACTGTATACCAACTTGGGGCCGACTACGCACCTAGTGATGCATGACGGTGATATGTAGAGTATATGGCTTTACTAATGTGTTTGTAGATATGTTGACATGTATACGCACATACGCAAATTATAAATAAACACACACCACAGACACGCCCATGTACATACGCACACATATTGTGTGTGCGTGCGCGCGTGTGTGTGAATATAGATATCCATCTATCCCTTCATACACACCTACGATACATATACATATTTATATACCCATTCCCATATATAAAAGATATGACCACGAATCGCACATACATGTTGAATCAGGCAAATAATTAAAATCACATCTGCGCATAGTGTATGCATTACCACCGTCAGAACACTATTATACTAAATTTCTGAGCAACATGAATTTCTTGGTGTTCCCATTTACTTATGAATTGCAGATCAGCATTTGATCAAATCATAATACTTCAACGGTGTAGTCTTTCCGTTGCCTTCTGTCCACCCGTTATATGAGACAACGATTATACTCACTAAGCTAATCCACGTCCTCATGTTAACGGCGGAGGAGCTGGGATGCCTGCCGAGTACTGTCCGAGGTTGACTTATATACGGAGCTGCATGTGTGCGTCAGTTCGTGTTTGCCATGAAGGTGACCATCGGAGGCAGTTTCCTCCGACGCCCACGAGGCTCTGCTCTCGTTCGCTTTTTATTGACCTTTTTGATAATATATATATATATATATATATATATATATATATATATATATATATATATATGTATATATATATATATATATATATATATATATATATATATATATTTATTATTTATTTATTTATTTATACAAACATATATAAACATATAGATAATGTAATATATGTATATACATTTTTTTTCTTTTTCAGTGTTGAATTATTACGAGAGAGCGACTTCTTCCCATCACACACACACGCAATACACATATGCACACACACATACACACATGCACACACACACACGTATGTATATATTAAGATATATATGTATATATAATCATACATATATGAAATGCATATAATATATGAAAATACATATCATATGTTTACATATATGCATGTATATATATATATATATAATATATATATATATTATAATATATATATATATATATATATATATATTATATATATATATATATATAGCTATACATATTTCTAGATGAGTGAGCAGAAGGGATGCAGAATGATCTCAACAGGAGGTTGGAAGTGGTGGTTGGGGGGTGGGGGCGGAATCTGTAGGCAGGGGGTGCGATGGTTGAGGGGCAGGGGCCTCTGTAGCATCTCGGAGGCATTTTCCAAGCATTGTGGAACACATGATAACAATTATATGTTGATTATTGATTTGAACATAATAGCAGTAAGATATATGTGAATATAATTTCATATTTGATTGTTAATTTTAACACAATGCTTACATTGATCCCTTGATCCGCCAATGTAAGTGAACGCTTGCATATGTGTATATATGTACACACATACAGATCTGTGTGTATGTATAAATGTTTGTTTGTATTTGTGTAATTTCTCTGCAATTATGAAGACAACCAGACAGATAGATTTTGCAATTATCACCGCAAATGTTATGTTTTTGGTAGCGTTGGATAGTTCGTTTGTTCGTTGGTTGGTTAGTAAGATAACTAAAAAAATATGATTAAAAAAATGAAACTTTGAGCATCTTCGATGCTTTTAAATTGGTGGTTATCCGGATCATGATCCGGATCCAAGATTTTTTAAATAGGATTCCCTAACTTTGCGAGATAGGGACAATTTAAACCTTTTTGTTACTAAAATCAACTTAAAACACTGCAGCTATGTTTTGGAAACCGCAGCGGAAAAAGAAAAACATTCTTTGCCACTTCACAGTGGAATTGTAAAATAAAAAGCCCATTTTCATGTCAGCACTACACTCTAGACAATAGAAACATGGACGTCATCAATTTACTTGAGAAAGAGGTGATTTTAATGTAATTCTTCTAGTGTGAATATTTTTATTACATCAGTGACCTTATTACCTTGGCGAAAACATGCGCTCTTTGAGGATATATTGTATCTGTATGTATCAACGCACATGTGTGTACATACGGACACACGCATGGTTTATATATATATATATAAATATATACACAAGTATTCATCTACAAATGGAGTTACACCTGCCTGGTGTCATGGCTTCCTGTTGTATCAGTTGTCTGGTGTTATGGTTACCTTGGGCTTCTGGGACCTTATGATAGTGATGTGTATATACATGTAAAAACACATTTATTTATAAATATATAAATATATAAATATAAGTATATGATAATATATATTTGCACACACACATACACACACACACACACACACACATACACAAACACACATACACACACACATATAGATAGATATATACATGTATGTATGTATGTATGTCTGTATGTGTGTGTGCAGACACACACGCACATACACACATATACCCAAACACACATATATATGTATATACATTCATACACATATGTATATGTATATGTATATACTTATATAAACATGTATACACACACATCTATCTATCTATATATGTATCTATATATGTATATACTTATATAAACATGTATACACACACATCTATCTATCTATATATGTATCTATATATGTATATATCTCTACATGTATGTATCTACACACACATATATATATATTTATATATATGTATATATGTATATATTTAAAGATACACAGAAACACTGTAACGTGTATGTGTATATATTTATATGTATTTATATTTATGTATGTATACATGTGTGTTTATGTCTGTATGTATTTTTATATATGTATGTATATATTTGTATGTGTTTATATGTATACACACACGCGCACACACACATATATGAGAGTGTGTGTTTTAGTGTCTGTGTGTGTATATATTTGGTGCAGCAATAGTGTTCTCGTATAGCAGCTTTGTTGACCTGCGTTCACTTTCCTGCAGCGACAGTGGATGGTAACCCGATCATTCTTTACATTCTTTAGTTTAGAAGAACAATACAAACAAGCCACAATTATACTGAAGTCACAAGATGTATGTTTGTACACACACACACACACACACACACATATATAAAAGGTTAAACATAGATTGTTACATACATTTGCAGATATATGCGAATATCTTGTTTGAAAAGTATGAATGTGAAATACTGTAAGCTATTTTTGTAGTAGGTGAATTACGAACACAGCGGGATTCACACTGAATAAGCACATCATAAAGATTAGTAAAGAAACTTTATTCGAGCTGTAGTTTTAAAGAATTCAATATCTAATTTTCTCTAATAATCGGTGTCAAGATTATAAAGGAAACCGCTAAAGCAAAAAAATATACCTTTTCATTGCATTTTTATTGATTTTACATGCTTTGCTGACACCGTTTTGGAATTCCAAGAACGTGCTTTTTTATCTTTCTATACATTTCTTGTTCGAGCAAAATATATAGAAGAAAAGAGAAAACAAATGTAGGACCAACACCCGTATTCGTTTCCCTAGGACTGATACGACAAACATCCTTTAGTTTTATGAGGTTGAAACTGGAAATGCTTTATGTCAGAGGCCTATTTTCATAATTAGCGGACAACCGTGAATACGTAACCATATTTCGGATTATTCACAGCATTATACTGGTGAAGGAGAACGTCGCCTACGACCTGCGATGTGTGACTCCCGGACGTTGCTGTAGATTCAGCAGCTTTCGTTACTGCTACAGGACTGGCATCTTGGGCAGCTGTAACATCGCTTGATTTCGAAGGTGACGAATGTCTGGGTGAAGCAGATGCTATAGGTGTTGCATCTCCTGTAGCTGCTGTGGGTTGAGGGAATCCCTCGGGGGAAAATCCAATTTTCCTTCCTGCTACAAAGTTAACAGTATGTTCTTTTCCATCTTCATCTACGTAGGTGTAGCTTCCGACAATGTTGCCATCAGCATCAGCTTCCTCAGTCCGTGAATAACTGTCAGAATCAAAGGAAAATCTGTATGAAGCATCTGCCTGAGTGTCTGCATTGTCACTCCCCTCTCCAGACTTAAGCAGAGGTGAGACTCTTGCTAGAGCATTGGCTTCTTCTTCAGAGAGGACAGGGAGAATGCGTCCAGTTGGAATTCCAGTTTCTGCGCCTGGAACAGGTGGTCCTTGAGGAAGGGAGTCTCCTTCAGCAATGTATCCGGTGTCAGCTCCAGCAATATACTGGATCTCCCTACTTACGTCATCATCAGCAATAAAGGAATACCTTCCCTTGACATTGTTCTGTGCGCCCGCACTTTCATGTCGTGAGCTACTCTGAGTCTTGTAGGAGAAAGAGTAACTTCCATCGTCAAGAGTAGAACTTCGTACTTGAGCTTCTTCAGCTGGTGCTGCTGGGGCAACAGGCTTAGGATGGGCAGCATGTGAAGGGGCAAGAAATGCAGTTTTGGTTGACACAACACCTGGGCTGGAAGACTGAGTGTGAGAGTCAGAACTTGGCACATCTGGAGCAATAGGTAAGTGATCACCTTCAGCGACGAAACCAGTAGCAGATCCAGCAACATAGTTCACAGTCCTTCGAACGCCATCATCGGCATCAAAGCTGAAAGTTCCCTGTACGTTAAGGTTGGGATCAGCACTTTCCGATCGAGAGCTTTGACCAGCATCATAACTGAAAGAGTAAGAAGCGTCCCTTGGAGCAGAGTCAAGAGGAGAACTGTAGGTGGCAGCAGTCAAAGGGCTAGCACTTGCAGAACCAGAAGTGGCAGCAGCAAGCTCGTTAGCCTGTTGCTCAGACAGAACAGGAAGAATTCGTCCAGTTGGAATTCCAGATTCTGCGCCTGGAACAGGTGGTCCTTGAGGAAGGGAATCTCCTTCAGCAATGTAACCAGTGTCAGCTCCAGCAATGTACTGGATTTGCCTATTTACGTCATCATCAGCAATAAAGGAATACCTTCCCTTGACGTTGTTGAGAGCATCTGCTGTTTCGTGACGTGAGCTTCTCTGATTCTCGTAGGAGAAAGAGTAACTTCCATCGCCAAGAGCAGAGCTTCGTACTTGAGATTCTTCAAGCGGTGCTGATGCGGCTACCGGCTGTGAGGGTGCAGCTGGTTGGGAGGCAACTACAGAACGC